TACTGTTATGAGTAACATAAAACACAGATTGAGGAAATAATAAATAATGCATAATGTCAAACACACAAGTTAGTAAATAAAAATGTTACACTTTTCTGGAAGAAGCAGAATCATTTGGGGGCTTAAAGTATACAAAAGAGATTACTCACCCCCTTGATTGGTGCAAGAGTCAGATAGATGGTCATTGGAGAAAGATGTCCTTGTGAGTCTATGAAGCTATGCACACATGGAGGAGACTTTAGCTCATTGTGGGTAAATGTTCAGTAGATGCTGTTGCTCTGAGCCCTCAGGCTAACTGACCCTGAGGTCCTCTGCACTGATCATTTTTGATGTTATGTTTAAAGTGCTCAGCTGCTCAGCAAGTCTCCATGGAGCTGTGCTAGAGTCAAGTACTGCAAGGTACGTGGATACTATCAACTCTACGCTTGATTGATAGTTGTATTGTTGGTTTTGGATTCTCCCTTTCCACTTGGCTTTGCTATATTAATCAGTGGGGTGGCCTGAGAGGTGCCTGTGTCTGCGATAGTTTCAGTGAATTAGTTCTGTGAGAGAATGATTCAAGCTAGGGTTTGTCTTTCAACACCTTTGTTTCAGAGCTCGTCCATTGAGCTACATAGATGTATTATTAGCTACAGAGCCTGCCTTTATTATTAGATTTCAGAGCTGCCTACACAACATTGGATTCCAGCCTCCTATTAGATGTATTTCTTTGTTAACAGATGAAGAAAAAAGGTTTCAGCCCTCTTTCCTAGAAACCGATCCTGACTTAGCCATATTGATTTTCCTTAGTGGTTTTTATTTCTTCAGTTCAAACCAACAGCTGTTTTTGCTTACTTTTGAGATTGTGATTTAATTACGACATTCAGTCCTTTCCTTCCTCCCTCCAAACCCTTGAATATACCCCTTCCCTATCTCCTTCAAATTCACATGCTTCTTTTTTTCATTAATTGTTATTACAGACATATATGCATTTGTATATATGTATTTATCCCCAAATATAACCTGCTAAGTCCATATAATGTTATCTGTGTGTAGGTTTTCATGGATGACTGCTTGACACTGGACAATTAGCATGTTCTTTCCCGGGGAAGACCATCCCTCTGCTCCCAGCTTTACTCAGCTGCCTGGAGTTCTTTGTGCAGGACTGGGGCCTCATGGGCTTTTCCCCACTCAGCTCGGCATGTTCTTTGGTGTCCTCCTTGTTCAGTTCGTATTTGTTCAGTCATGCTGGTGAGACTTTCTGGGTGTAGCTTCTGGTGTTACTGGGAGACAGAATCTCACAGCGAACTCCTGATCCTCTGTGTTGTATTATCATTCTGTCTCCTCTTCACACTGTTCCTTAGCTGTAGGAGTGTTTTATAGGTGTTTAGTCCTTAAACCCACAGGTAAGTGCATCTTCTCCCCTCATTGAGGAAACTTCTGTTTGCAACAGACAGCGATCATTCCAGAAAAGCACAACCAATCAAAATGCAGAGTAGTGGAGCCCACATTTTTTTTTCCTTTATCATGGATTTTTTTTTTAAATTTATTTATTAGTTCTAGTTAGGGAACAAGCTTGTTTCACATGTAAGTCCCTTCTCCCTCTCCCTCTCCTCACCCCATCCCTCCTCCTCCACCCCCAGCCTACCCCCCAACCCATCCACCCTCCACTTCCCAGGCAGGGTAGGGCTCTCTACGGGGGCTCCCGCAAAGTCCACCAAATCTTCCTGTGCTGGTCCTGGGCCCTTCCCCATGTGTCCAGGGCCAGAGTGTAACCCTTCACGTGGGATGGGTTCTCAAAGTCCCTTCTTGCACCAGGGAAAAATACTAATCCACCACCAGAGGCCTCCTTATTGACGTCCATGTTCAGGGGTCTGGATCAGTCTTGTACTGGCCTCCCCGACAGCATCTGGGGGCGATGTTGGAGCCCACATTTTAAACTATGGAAAATTCTGCAAACATTATATTAATGCATGATAAATTTCCCACAGACTTAGCAACTTAAAAAGAACAAATTATTTCGCATCTTTCTTGGGTCAGTAGTTTTGCTGTAGCTTAGAGGGGTCCTCTAGCCAGACCCAAAGGCTTTGTGTCACGTGATGCTGGTTTAATCTGGGGCTGGGCTGATGCAGCTTTTGACAGAATTCTTTTTCTGCTGTCATTGAATGCATAGAGACTTGATTCTTCAAGGCCATAAAGATCTCTCTTTTCAGGGACACCTTTTAGAACCCCTTGTGAAGGGCTCACTTGATTTGGCCTGGCCCCTCTTCCTCAGGACCAACACTAGGGTAGCTAGGGTAGGAGGATCCAGAGTTCAAAGCCAGTATTGGCTACATAGTGAATTTGAGGCCAGCCTAGGCAACATGATTGAGCAAGGAGGGGTATATGTCAGGATTTGGAGGGAGCAAAGAGGAAGGAAAATGATGTAACTATATAATAATCTCAACATAAAATAAATAATTAGAGATGGATTGGATTTGGTTGTGACTACCAGTAAAATTCAAATGATAGGAGTTTAACCAAAACTGAAGGTCTTTTTTTTTGTCATCTGGATGTAGGCATTCAATGCCTCTAATGGCAGAGTTTTCCCTGAGGTTTGTGGGCTTCTCTGGTGATTCATGACTCTACAGGGTCTTTCTTCTCCATGCCAACTCATTAGAGCCCCGCAGCAGCTGCTTCAAATGAGGGAAGAGCAGAGGCTGTATTCCTGCCCTTCAAGGGTCTTCCCTGTTGTTTGACCCAATATCTTGTTCAAATCCCATTGGCCAGAACATCATAAAGCTTCACCTATCTGATGGGGGAAGTGCTTCTGTGTATGTGTTTGTCTTACTAGATGATAAATAAAGTACTGTTTGGCCAATGAGGCAGCAAGGTAGATGGGAGAAGGAGTCAAAGAGGATTCTGGGAAATGTAGTAGAGAAGTGGTGATCCAGGCAGGAAGTGACATAGCAAAGAGACTCATATTTAAGCAAGGACAAACAGGAAGTCCCCCCTTTTCCCCTTTGCGTCCTCCAGCGGTGCCTTGTGATCCACCGGCAAGAGAGGGTGCTAGCGGAAGGCATCCTCTATAAGATGAGTCTTATAAAATATATAGATTTATGATAATTAAGACTGAGCTAACAGATGAAAATCCTAGTCATTGGCCAAGCAGCATTGTACGTAATGCAAATCTCTGTGCATTAATTTGGGCTCTAACTCGGTGGGCAGAACTCGGGCGGCTGGCGGAGACCACCCACGTGGCAGTAGGGCTGGGGGGGGGCTTCTGGCGGAAAGATTTATCGTAACACCTATCCATAAGAGAAACAGAAGTTTGTGCTTTTATTTTGTGGAGCCATCTGTCTAGGAAGAGGGACAACAGACATTTGGAGACAAAAGCAGCCTTTGCCATCCTGGTTTGGGTGACCCAGTCACCTAGAGAGTGAGTGTCAGTGTAGTGCTGAGGCACAATGACCTGTCTATAACACAAGGCTCAGGGACTATTAATGAAGAGGGGGCAGAATGATTGCAAGAGCTGGAGGTTGGGGAGGGCTGCACTGAAACTGTGTCTTTTGGACACCACAGGACTCTCGCCCTCATGAACTTACAGCAACTGTGGTTGCTTGCACAAGACCTGTATAAATCAAGCTTGTCAACATTCTAGAATGGTGGGGGAAAGTTCATAAACGCCCACAGTGAACTGAGGAGCTGTGGACAGCTGATGGCTCTAGGAAAGAGTGAGTTTTCTTTAAGGGTGCAGTCCCTGGTAGTTCCATCACACTCCAGTAGATGGCCCCACTCTAAGGAGGACATGGGCAGAGTGTGGGCAATTAAACAAAGAGAGGAGGACACAAAGTTGGGCAGGTAGGAAGGTGGGGTGATCCTGGAGGAGTTACAGGAAGGAGTGGAGGGCGAATATGATCAAAATATATTATTTGAAATTCTCAAATAACTAATAAAAATATTTTTAAAAGATACAATGCAACACACTTAAATTTTTACCTAAGGATTTTAGAGCCATTCTGTCTCCAAATTTACTGAGTTTTCAGCAAAGGAGCCTATTAATTTTAATCAATAACTTCAAAACAAAAGCAAAGAAGAAAGAAACATTGTCAGTAACTTACCTGATTTAACGAATGACTAATTGTTAAAATCCCATAGTGGATTTTCTATAGGGTCTTTGAATGCTTTCCTGAAGGACTGATTCCTTTGTGAGGTAGAAAAATGTAGGGTAGGTTTGATGGATCAGTGTGAGGACAGCTACAAGTTAGGAACTTTATTTGATTTTTTTAAACATTGACTATTCTTAATCAAGTGCTTGTTTTGAAGTTCACTGAGTAGGATTATGGGTACCAAGATTTTCATCATCCTTGGAACACAAGTGCCATGACCTCTTCACCTGATCCAGGATGCTCTACTTTTTACACCCACCTTCTGACTTGGTGCCCTGTCTGTGAGGCCAAGAGGTTCCTTCCCCACCCACTGCTCATCCATCTTGCCATTCTGGGCTTCTGGACTCTTTCTGGATTGCTTGAACACTGGGAGGTGTTTCTTCTCATAACGTACATTTCCTTATTCCACCCATTCTAGAAAGCCTCTAATGATATGGTTATGCCTTAATGCCACCAAGTGATTCAGAGTACAAAGGAGAGGCTCTGTGTGACACACTCTAACCCTTGGGTGCATGATGTAAGCAATAGTAGAATAAGCATGCATTAATTTCATAAACTCATTCTCTACAGGCTGCACAAAGAAAGTGTTGGCTGCTACTAGGAACTGTGCCTACAAATCAGAGTTGTGGCAGGTAGATAAATAAAGTGAATTGATTCTCAAAAGGACCACACATGCACACAGGGAAAAGAAATTGTTGTTATGTAAATTGTACAATTCTTGGTGATCTGGGCCATGCTCCATACCAGGTAGAACTGCTTCCCATACCAAACTAGAACTGTCTTGTTGGCTTGAAGTGATGTTATAGAGGAGATCCTCACATTTTTCTTTCTAAAATAAAATCCAAAATAAAACTTAGAAATCTCTTTCTTTTCAGCAGGACCACTGGAAGAGACCAAGTGGCTGAGTTCAGGCTGTCGTTCAGACTGACCCCAATGCTTCATCTTGGTAAAGTTGCTCCATCTCCGAAATCCCTATTTCTAGCATCTTTAAACTAGGGTCAATTGTGGTACTAACTGGCAAAAACAAAGAGCACAGTTCATTGAAATAATTAGCATATATTCTGATACATCGTGTGCACCAAAACACCACCTTAAACACAGAAAGAAAATTTGAACGTAGCTTCAGCTTCATTGCTGTGTTCAAGGTTGAGAAGGTGGACCCTCACGCATCAGATTAAAAACATACTGCAATCTTCCCTACTACCCAACATGAAATAAAAAATAACACAAACCCCATGTCCTGTGTATTCTAATAAGCCTTGTTACTGTGGTGTTCTCGTTTCCATTCTGTGTGATGAGAAGTTGAGAGCACATGAGACAGGTTCAGTGTGGGAGCTGGAAGGGAGGTGGGCTGGGAGACTTGCACAACAGGGCTCTACCTAAATGCCATTCTAATCTCTGAAACCTCACGACCAGCCTGGTGTGATACGTTTTACTCCTGGCACAGCTGGGAGTTCCAGTGTGGTAGAACCTGAAAACTTGGGTGTCAAACTTTCATTTGCCCAAAAGATAGAAATCTAAACTGATAGGACAAAGAACCAAGAGGTAAACATTGCAACTCACCAATCAGTGCATAGGCTAGCAGATCGGTATCCACCTGTTAGAAATGCAGAAGCATGGGTCGAGCCCCATTCCAGCTGAATCAAAAGTTGGTCAATGTCAATACCCTCAGAGATGCATTGAAGTGAGGAACGTTTGGTACCACGTATTTCATTTCCGTTCTAGAAATTCTCATGTTGTGGTGATTACTTCAAGCACTTTAATGAACACGGCATAGTGGGGAGCAGATGAAATCCTAGTGAATGTGTACAGCCATGTCAAGGATACAATGCCTCAGACCCCTGGGATAGCAAGGCCTTCCCACGGTTCTCCAGATGTTGGCAGTGTATATTTGCCACAGTTTCCTCCTCCCAGATCACTGCAATACGAGACTACTCCCTCACAAAGACCCTCTAGCAAGGTGAGCCAATCTGCTTCCTCTATCAGCTACGTATAAAAAAATGCCCTGAGTTTCTGGGGTGCTGGGAAAACTCACCATCAGAACACATTGCCCACACAACCCCAGCTTTTCTGTTGTGTGTTTGTCATTTCTTTATCTACTATCAGGTCGTCGAAAAGATGTGCAGGTCATGGCACTGTTTCCTAACTCTAGTTGTTGATTGTAATCTTTGCTCTTTGCCCGTGGCTTTAGTGAGAACAAAGACCAGTCCATCACTGTCTCTGTTACCAGAGCCAACCCAAATTGTGCCCTCACCTGTGACCAATACTCTTGAACTATAAGAGTTAGCTACAAGCTTTGGGCTCAGAGACAAGGAGGCAAAGTTCCACTGTAAAAACTAAAATAAATTAGTCCAGCCATTTGTAAACCAGGGATAATATTAATAGTATTCCCACGTTTAATCTTTCAATGGCTCTTCTGACTTACATCACCTGTACTTCTCTTCATGATCAGTTCATTTGCCAAAGTCGCTTGTGTGGCTAGCTTTAAGCAGTCTTTCACTGAGTCAGAATATTCAGAGTTAATTCGACTCAGATTCTCTTGTTGATTTTATGCAGCTTTTACTGAAGATTTACTTTCAGACAGGATTCATTTTTCATTTTCTATGCATCAAGCTTGCTGTGCTTGGCTGTGTCCTAGTTCAAGAGACCTGGTACTAGCAAGGAAAAACTGACATTGTAGAAACCACTCCACACACTGTAAATGTGTAGTATAAAACAGACTTCCCTTTCTGTTTTGGAAATTATCTATAGGGCATGGGATTGCTGTAGTCTATTAACTCTTAGTTGAGTGTGCCAATTTCAAAGCCCAAAGATGGAAAGAAAAGGGCTACAATTGTTTTATTCCTATTGATGTTATGATTCTTACAGACCTTAGGATGTGTGGGAACTGTTCCATTGTGAAATTCATAAATAAATAAAACACAGGTGTAACACTTTTCAGTTATTCTGCCACCCAAATTATTTTTCCAGAGTCCATTACTGAGTGAAAAAATTTAGGAAATTGAGCATCATTAAATTTGGACCTGGATTAGTAAAATCTCAGATATTAAAACTTTAGAAAAGACTAAGAACTAAGTTATACTCAAGAATTCTCACTATTCTTACAGATAAATGAAAGACTTACAGGGTCATTTGACATACCAAAATTTTGACTTTACAAAGACATCATAAACAAAGCAACAGAACACATTGTTTTTCCTGTTTTGAAACTGGTCCTTTGAAAACATAACACGCTGGGCATGGTGGTGTACGTCTTTAATCCTATCACTCAGGAGACAGAGATAAGTGGGTCTTTGTGAGTTTGAGGCCTGATCTACATAGCAAGTTCCAGAACAGTCAGGAACACACAGAGAAAACCCTGTCAAAACAAATAAACCTCAAAAACCAAACAAACAAAAACATACACATACATGCATTTTATAGATATATCTTAAACTCAAATATGCCTTACCAAGTCCATCTAATAAATTGCTGAGACATGGTGAGTTTTTCCCCTCCCAGTAAGAATAACCCTTTAGTTTGAAGATTAGTTGATAAAACCCATCAAAGGTTCAAGTTCTGGTGTCACCATTAGTTCCTCAAACTAATCCTAAAGTTTTCCACATGTAAAACACGTTCGAACATAGTCACTAGCTTAGCAGAAGAGAAATCCTCTTTCACCTGAAGGTTTTCTTCACTTCATTTTCCTCAGCTGCTTTGAAGGGAAGAAATAGACAACAGATAAAATTTTAACTACTAGGAACTCCCAGAGAGCTTATCATTTTGTGTAACAAATTCTCCCAACATCTTTCCTTGAGGGGGGATGAAATACGCTAATTTGTGCACTTCTTTTTCCTCAATTTCTGAGAACATTGGTGCACTAAGAGAAGAAAAACGTCAGAAGGGGTTGTTCTCCTGCTCTTAATTATGGCCACATGTAACTGGGGAAGCAATTTCCTAAACAGAATTTGAATAAGCCTTGAATAACAGGTTTGTGTAACCCAAGCCCTTCTAGAACCTGACTTGGGCTTTACTGTTTTTTCTCAGCTTAACTCTTAACAGAGATAATGCCTCTTCTGAGATTCTTCTGTAAATTTGCTCTTGGAAAGTGAACTTGGTGTTGTGGGGACTCAAATCCAAACTTTTTTTTGAAACCATTTACTCTCTTTCCACCCAACAAAGTAGCAGAACACATTAGAACGAAAACAATGGCTTTCTTCTAAAAGCGCCGTATACCAGGCTTCATTATGTCTCCTGCTTTGCTTCCCTCTAGTGTCTCCAAGTGAAACGTGCATGCAAGTTTTACACAGGGCCACGTCCTGCTCAATGAATGTGAGAAACTGTAGAAGCTGTAGAGATGCTTCTTGTCCTTTTAAAGATCTGAATGCCGTCTGTTTCCCTAAACCATCGACTCCACCTCTCCAAAATACTTGGATTTTTAAGGACCAAGAGCACGATCATGTGTTTTTCTGTAGAGAATGCCTGGTTCTACTTTTTTAAAAATTTAAACTTATTAATACCAGAGGTCATAAAAGTGAGCAGATTTCAAACTCAACTTGTATCTTACAGGTGAATAATTAACTTTAAGGGAGTGTTGACTTCATTATACTATAACACAACCCTTTTAAAGGGAGGGGGGAATGTAGTAACATTTAGATCTGTGTGTTTTGCACTCCATTTTTATCTTAGGAACAGCATCTTTGCCCTGTTTCTGGTAATGCTTGTGCATCATTTTGTTTGTTTATTTTAGACTTGTCAAAGAAAACTCTGTTCAAAGCTTGTACTACAGCAGGATTACTGGACAAGTATTGCTACTTGGTCTAAATGAGACTCACTGTGCTTTGTGGTCACTGTGGGCTTGTGCTTTGGAACTGTGATTCAGAACCACTCAAAGTCCCCTTTGTTCGAAGGCAGGGAATACATCTCCAAACACGTTTCCAAGACTCAAGATCTCACCTTTCAGGTTGGATGGCTCTCCCTAGTGACATATGTGTTAATCAAAGAATCTAGGTGTGATTGTCAGTAAGTGACGCCTCTGCCTTTTTCCCAAACGAGACGATGTACTGTGACTTGAATTGTGTGTGCTACCAGCAAGAGACATCATATATGCCATCTCTGCCTCCTCTCCATCACAGAGTAACCTAGGTGACAGCTGAAAAGCATCAATCTGATTTTAGTCAGTCAATTCTCCAATGTTTTTATTTTTAGGGATTAAAGGTTATTTTCTTTTTTAAGAAACAATGTATACTAATTCTTGGAGAATTTCACATATGCATGCATTATATTATAATCATAGTCACCTCCCACTATCTACCTGTAGACCTCATATATCCTTTTGAAATTTAAGGGAGAATTGTTGGGCTGTGATTGACATCCTTGGGAAGAAGGGAAGAGGTGAGGTAAAGATGAAGTGAGCCTGGGTGAGACGCTTCCTTTGGCTTGTTTTAGAGACACTTGGGTGTGTTTATTGGCATGGCATCTGTTAACTTGTCTTAGAGGCCCACCTTTTATTTGAGGTAGCTTTTTCTTCAGTATGCTTAACTGTGCAGAAACTTCTCCCAGTGCCAGACTCCCCTGCAAGTTAGAAACAAATTAAGTTTTATTGTTTGTTCCATAAGTAGAAAAATAATATCGAGATGATTGCCTTGCAATTCAGTGTTGCTTGGTACAGAGGCAATGGTTGAGCAATTTGAGTGCTTCAAAATTGTGATAATTTGTTATTACACATTCTTATAAAACCGTAAGCCCTGAGGCTATTGGTTGCAGTCCATAACTTGGTGGAAAAACACTTACTTGTCATCAAACATGGATAAGTCAAGCTGGTGCCCAACTAGAGGCCTCATCCCTACTAACTACCATTCGTAGTTCAAAAGGCACTCTGCATGTAGTGGAGGAGGAAGGTAAGCATCAATGTCACCCATGTACAGAGGCTGTGATCTACAGCAGCAAGATTCACTGGTGCCTATTGGCACAAGCATAGGAGTAGCCAACCACCTTCAGATTGCATTTAAGGCCCACTCCATGAGATGCAGCTCATACCTGACACTGATGCTAAAGTGGTCAAGAGCTTGAGACTAGATAGGTCATGGGCCTAGGGAGAAATTTTATTACTATTATTTTTCTAATGAAACATAGCAATAAAATGACTCCTAATGTCACACTGCTGTACCCATAGATCAGTGCGTCATTCAATGTGCAGCAGACTGCTTCTTTTTGCAACAGATGGAAAGTAGCACAGAGATCTGCTACCGGACAATGTACAGAGAGTGAGAGGCTTTAGAGAGCTCGGTCCTAAACGGGAGGTCTTCATCAAACCCCTCCCTCAAGGCTCGGGGATCTATGCGGAAGAGAAGGCAAAAGGATCCCAAGAACCAGAGGTGCTGGATGACTACAAGGTGACAGCTTCCCCAAGACACAACTGGACTGATGCACTATGAGCTCAGAGACTGTGGTACTGCACGTCGGACCTTGCACAGGCTCATATCAGATGGGATACCAGCGCTGAGGAGGGGGAGTAGATAAAAGGTCCACCGCTAACCAACACGTTATTTGCAATTGATATCTGCTGGCAGAGGGAAAATCGGTTTTCTACAATGAACCATGACTGGATCTATCAACCATAATCCAGGGAAGGCCCCCACCGTCCCCCCCCCACTACTAACTTCATTTTATCATCTTTGTCTTATTTGTTGTTTTATTTGTTTTTTTGTTTGTGTTTGAAAAAGAGAGAAAACACGCAATTGGGTGGGTAGAGAGGTGAGGAAAATCTGGAAAGAGTTTGGGAAGAGGAAAAATGTGATGAAAATGTTATTTTATGAAAAACATTTTAAGTAAAAAGTTTAAAAAAAAAAAAGCCGGGCAGTGGTGGCACATACCTTTAGTCCCAGCACTAGGGAGGCAGAGGCAAGATGATCTCTTTGAGTTCAAGACCAGCCTGGTCTACAAGAGCTAGCTCCAGGACAGCCTCTAAAGCCACAGAGAAACCCCGCCTCGAAAAACCCAAAAAAACAAAACAACAACAACAAAAAACCCAAAAAATCAAAACAAATTGTCAATGAACATTTTATTTTACTGAAAGTGTTATTCTACTTTTATTAGTCATTACTAGCAACTTTACTTTTAATAGAAATCATAACTTGTATTTGTATTTGTAGGTGAATTTTAAGATGGAAATATTTGTGAAGGGCTACTTGTTAGTGTAACAACAGTGGCCAGATCCATGGGTTTTAGGGGGACATTGGCAGGAAGGTCTCCGTGAGCAAGGACCCTCTGGGACTGAAGGCTTCCTGAGGCCAGAGATTTTTGATTTATGTACTCCCGTCTCTGTCTAACAAAGTGCCTGACGTATTGTTAAAGAGATCTCTGAGAGTGTTTGCTGCTTTTTCCCCCCTCTTTGTACACAAATTTTCTCTTTCAGCCAATGTTTTCACAAAAAGAGAATGACTTTGCTGCTTTTTGATGAACAGCTGGGTTCTGCTGCCTAATGCGTTCTTGAAAGATGAAGTAATCTTGAGAACTCTGACATGCTTGGGTGACTGTTTCCTACTCTCTTGCTCATAGTTTTCAGTGACATTATTTATGAAACTTTTCCTTTATTTAATAATTAAATTAGATCAGAAATGTATCTAATATTAAATGTTTAAGTATCCAAATAAAAGAATTCTCAGTGTTCAGAGTTGAAAAGGGGAAAGGGTCATTATATTCCATTATTGTTGTTATGTGTGTTGGGAGGGTGCTCATAGGGGGCCAGATGACAGTCTTGTGGAGTAGGTTCTTTCTTTTCCTGGGCTCCCGGGACTGAACTCAGATTATCAGGTTGGGTGACAAATGCCTTTACCATCTCTCTGGCACTAGATTTTTATTGTTGCTAAAAATTTCAGTTGATTAATGTCTTTCCTAGTCTACGACCCGTAGCCATCAATAAATGTCATCAGCACCAAAATTAAAAGTGTATTTCATAATCAAATGAAACTTTTGAGAAATAATTTCTCAAGGGCTTTCCATAACTGGAGGGTGTCTGTGTGGAGTGCTCACGGGACTCTGCCTGAATCATGGCAGGTGGCCGCCTGTCTATGCATGTGAATGGCACCCGGTTTCATTGGCCTTCCTGAGTAATTACAGTGCCATTGGCCCTGAGCCAGCATCAGAGCTTCAAAAATGAGTAGAGACATCATATCCAAAACCTATGTGTTATGGATACAATATTGGTATGAACACAGACAAAATACAATGATGTAAATAAAACAATGGGTGTCTAGATATTGATAATGCCCAGCCCTATATTCATACTTCTCCCGGCCTGTGTGGGTTTGGATGGGAGGACTGGGTGATATACCACATCCCCCTTTTCTGCTTTGTATTTTAAGACAGAGTGAAGTTGTCTAGGCTGGACATGAATCTGCTCTGTAGCCCAGGCAGGCTGTAAGTTTGTGGTCTTGAAGGGACCAGCTCCCCATTTAGGCAGCCATAACAGCCAAACACATGTGCCTTTATTGTCTGACCTTGTCTTAGTCACTAGGAGGTCAGACGTCTGCCTCATGGCAAGGAACCAATCAGAAGTTAGCTGGTGGTGCTATGCTTTATGGCTCTGGGTGTCCTTTACGGATAAGCGCACAGTAACAACATGCAGAGCATAGCAACCACCCTGGGAGGGCCTATGGGCCATAACAACCAGTTGACCAATCAACACAGGGAAAACCCTCCAAGCCTGGAGGTACACCAATCCTGAGCCTGAGCGTACCCCTAGATACTCCCCTTACGCTGCCCTATAAGATCTCTATGCAGACGCTTCGAGCTGTCTTTCCTAGCCATCTGCCTTGGTGGATAGATGACAGACCCGAGCTAACATGGGGTTAGCTTGTTAAACAACAATAAAGCCTCATGCAGTTTGCATCAAGCTTTGAATCCTGCCTGGTGATTGAGGTGACTGTGGTCCTGGGCTGAGATCCCGGAGGCCTGAGCTTCCGGGGGTCTTAAAGTTCTGCCTGGTGACACAGGAGACAAAAATCCCCAGTTTCATTTTTCATCTTCTCCTGCAGTTAGATGTGACCATCAGACTAAATTCTGGCTAACATGAAGGAAGTGGAAAGTCTGGGGTTGGAAATCTTGTGAAGTCTTTTTAGCAAAAGAGACTTGCTGTCCTTATGTGGATGTAATGGGTGTGCTCCAGAAGCAAGCTTGGAGGAATAGAAGCCGGGAACTCTGTGCCTTTGAGGATGGAATAGATGCTCAAAGATGGCAGGACACAAAGACAGAAGGAGCCAGGACACTGATGACTCAGCAGAATCATGACCAAGAGTCCCTTAACTTGGTTGTAGAAATCTGTTTCTGGCTTAAGTTCTTGATCCGTTCATTCTGTTACTTCAGTCTAAATGTAATTCCAGATGATGCTGAAGGTGCTTTTTATCTTCCAAAGAAAGATGCTGGGGATCTTAGCAGACAGGAATGTCTTGGAAGATTATTTTAAAGCAGTGGTTCTTGCTAGGTAGTGGCACACAACTTTAATCCCAGAGTTCCAGAGGCAGAGGCAGGCAGTTCTCTGTGAGTTTAAGGCTGTCTGGTCTACAAAGCGAGTTCCAGGACAGCCAGGGCTACACAGAGAGATCCTATCTCAAAAAAAAAAAAAAAAC